ATCCTCCTCATGCGTGTGTCTGTGATCCTCCTCATGCGTGTGTCTGTGCATCCTCCTCATGCGTGTGTCTGTGATCCTCCTCATGCGTGTGTCTGTGCATCCTCCTCATGCGTGTGTCTGTGATCCTCCTCATGCGTGTGTCTGTGCATCCTCCTCATGCCTGTGTCTGTGCATCCTCCTCATGCGTGTGTCTGTGCATCCTCCTCATGCATGTGTCTGTGATCCTCCTCATGCATGTGTCTGTGCATCCTCCTCATGCGTGTGTCTGTGATCCTCCTCATGCATGTGTCTGTGCATCCTCCTCATGCGTGTGTCTGTGCATCCTCCTCATGGGTGTGTCTGTACATCCTGCTTATACATGCATCTGTGTGTCCTCTTCAGGCATGTGCATGAGCACTCAGACAGGTCATGACATGTATGGTAGGCAGGGGACAGTCTGGGGAAGTCAGTGCTCTCCTTCCACCACGTGGGTTCTGGGTGTCAAGCTCAGGTCATCAGGCTTGGTGGCAAGTACCTTTTTCTGCTGAGCCATCTAACCAAGCCTGACATAATTTTAAAGACATGGGATCTAGAAGAAAAGGCTAGTCCTTTCGGTTGAATACATTGACTATTATGATGGCCTTCAGTGCAAGTCTGTAGCTTTTCACCACCTGGCCACTTAGCTCCTCTAGAATATGCCTCCCACATTACACATGTTCCAAATGACTCCTCGATTCAGGCACGTTCAGCCCTATCCCAGTCCTCCTCATACTCCTGCCACAGATAGGAAGGAGGGAGGGAAGGTGGGAAGGAGCTAGGGAGGGAGGGAGGGAGGGATGAATCACAATGGCTGGCAAGGTGGCTCAACAGATTAAGGTATTTGCCACCAAGTCTAACCCTGGAGTTCAATCCACAGGCCCCAAGTGGTGGAAGGAGAGAACTGACTCCTGAAAGTTGTCCTCTGATGTCCAATGGATGCCATGGCACATACATACACACAGCCATACAAACTATCTGAAAGTATAATAAAAAGTGTCTTTAAAATCAATGTTTTTATTGTGACCAAAATGGCTTACGTTTTCTTAGAAATCTGTGTTGGATTTGAAATATGTCTTTCTCACAGGTGGCCAGCCGTGAATTAAAAGTGCCCATGTCTCACATGCATATCTGTGAAACAAGCACGGCTACCGTGCCCAATACAATTGCTACGGCAGCGTCCATTGGCGCGGATGTCAACGGCAGAGCTGTGCAGGTGACTGTGGCTGTCTCCTTCCCTGATGAACTTTACTACGTCTCTAGTTTTCTTATTGGCACACGGACACAGTGGTTGGCTTCGGGGAAGTGAGCAGTCACTGAATTAGTTTTCTATTACTGTGATAAAACACCATGACCAAGGCAACTTATAAAAAAAAAGGGGGGGGGGGTATTTGTGGCTTATGATTCTAAGAGAAAAGAGTCGGTCACTGTTACTGGAAGGTCACTTGGCAGTAGGCAGGCATGGCAACTGGAGCAGCAGCTGAACGCTCACATCTTAAACCTCAAGCAGGAGGCAGATAATAAACTGGGAATGGGGAGTATTTGAACTCTCAAAACCCACCCCCAGTTGTCCCGACCTGTAGGACATCAACCTGGAGAAAGAGAGTCAGAGATAGGGAATGGGGACAAGAGACTTGGAAAGAACGACCACAAGACAGGATTCTGATCAAGTGATAAACTTTATTTTTCTCAGGCTAGCTTGTAGTCAGTAGAGCAGGATATGGGGAGCGGTAGAATGGGTTGTTTGTGCACCAGGTGTTAGTGTAGCCAGGATATTAGAAAGCCACAAAGAGGATGTTTGGCAGGGTAAAGAGTTCATGAGTAAGAGGTCCAGGAAGGGTTGCCTAGGTGACTGAGCCTGTGGGTGGAGGACTGGGTGGAGTTGTTTCTTTTCTTGAGCTGAGGTTCTAAAGAGCTGCTATGTAAAGGTTAATATACAAGTATGTGGCCGTTCAAGAATGGCCTAAGAATGCCAAGCCCTGAGATCTTTGGCTCCCAACACCCAGTGACATACTTCCTCCAGAAAGGCCACACTTCTAAGCCTCCCAGTCAGCAGCAACTGGAGACCACATATTCAAATACTGGAGACAATGGGGAATATTTATCATTCAAATCACCACAGTCACTAACAAAAGTTTAGACAACCAAAATATTGGGAGCAAATATTAATTAAAGTGAGGTAATACATAGACCCAGAATATAATGGCTCAGACCCAGAAGTCCCTTTCATGCACATGTGTGGGTTCAGAGGGCATCTTAGGTCAGTCAGGCACCCAGGCTGATGGTGGCACCACCACCTTCAGTGCATGGCTTTCAAGGTAGCACTGAGCATCACCATTTCAGTCACAAGAAGTCATGCATGAGGAAGACTCCAGGCTAAATCTGGAAGTGATGCTAATTGCTTGCACTCATCACCCATTAGGAGACGTAGTCTCTGGCCATGTCTGCATGCAAGGGAGGTTTGTGAACATAGAAGACAGGGAAGGAATATGCCCAGCTATTGTGGAAGGAAGGGAGACTACATTTGGGGGACAGAAATTCTGCTTCTGGAAGGCACAGAAAAAGCTTTAAGACCCAACAGTGTGGAACCATGCCTGTTTCCTGGCATGGCAAGTTCCTGCAGGCAGACCAGTTGAGCCCAGCCTAACCCAGCAGACATGATAAATAATTATTACCACCCCAAGTCCCCACCAGAACACTCAGAGCAACCTTCTCTTAGAACTTTTTTAATTAGCATACGAAGTAATGAGTTTCATTGTGACTGTTATTATTAATTTAACTGATTTAGTTCTTTTAGTCTGGTTTGCTTTGTTGTTGCATATGTTATTATTATAATTTGCTACTATTTTTCATATGTTTATCGGTGTTTTGCCTGCATGTATGTCTTTCTACCACATGTATGCTTGACACCGGTGGAGAGCAGGGTGTCAGATCCTCTAGAACTGGAGCTACAGAATTGTGAGCTGTCGTGTGAGTACTGGGAATCGAACTCAGGTCCTCTGGACAAACAGCCAGTGCCTTTGTCTGCGATCCATTTCTCTAGCACCCAGATGTTTTGGAGACAGTGTCTCACTATATAGTTCAGGCTGGCATGGAACACGTTATGTAGCCCCAAAAGACCTCAGACTCATGACGGTCACCTATGAGATCACAGATGTGCACTGTTACACCTACATATATGTTCTTTTGAAGTAATAGTCACTGAATTTGTCATGATTCTGACAAACACTTTTTCCGTTGGGCATTGTAGGAATATGTATTCCTGTAGATCACTATAAGGATGTCACAAAACCTGCCTTCAAATCAGTCTTATCCATGTGAGAACTCTGAGGGCAGTGGGGAGGGGGCAAAAGTAGTCGGGTTTTCTCTGAAAAAAAAAAAAAAAAACATCATGAGTTTATACTTGGGGTAGGCACTAACACAAGAGGGGAGCAAGTCAGGTGGTGCGGAGTTGCCAGCCTACCTAAGGGCTAGAACATCTAGTTTTAGGATCAGAAGTGTGGGTTCCCAGTTAGTTCTGTTGTTGTTGTTTGGTTTGGTATGGTTTGGTTTCGTTTTTGGTTTTTGTTTTTTTGGTTTTGGAAAACAGGTCTTTTCTGGGTAGCTCTGGCCATCCTCGACCAGGCTTGTAGGTGGAGTTTCTGTTCTACCTGGTCCTGCTGCCCTTCAGCCCAAATAAACACACAGCAGCTATATTAATTATAAACTGTTTAGTCGATGGCTCCGATCTCTTATTGGCTAGGTCTCTCTTAATTATTAACCCATTTCTATTAATCTAAGTATCTCTATGTAGCCTTGGCTTACCAGAGAATGCCTAGCATCATCTATATTTTCAGTAACTATATTCTCTCTCTCTCTTCTCTCTCCCTCTCCCTTTCCCTCTCCCTCTTCCTCTCCCTTTCTCTCCCTCTCCCTCTCCCTCTCTCTCTCTCAGCTCCCTCTCTGTGTCCCTCTTCCCAGCATTCCTAGTCTGGTAGCCCCACCTATACTTCCTGCCTGGCTACTGGTCACTCCTCATTTATCCCAAATGCTGGGATTAAAGTGATGCACCACTTGGCATAGTTCTGCTTTTTTTTTTTTTTTAAGTTTTCCTGAGACACAGTGTTTCTCTTTGTAGCCCTGGCTGTCTTGGAATCACTCTGTAGACCAGGCTGGTCTCAACTCACAGAGATCCACCTGCCTCTGCTTCCTGAGTGCTGTGATATTAAAGGCAAGCACCACCATTGCCCAGCTTTTTAGTTCTGCATTTTAAGATTTACATTTTATTTTATGTGCATGGGCATTTTGCCTGCATGTGTGTCTTAAAATCAATTTTGTTATTTTCTTACTTCAAACCCAAAGCCAGGATCTTTGAATAATGGTTTCCTAATAGACAGAGGAAGTTAGAGGGATGGGCAGTGAGTTAAATATTTCAGCCCAGAGGGCTCGTGGCCTGTCATTGTAACAAGCACAGATTCGAATAAAAATATGATATTTATTTCTTTTTTGTTTGTTGGTTGGTTGGTTTGGTTTGGTTTGGTTTTCAAGACAGGGTTTCTCTGTAGCTTTGGAGCCTGTCCTGGAACTCGCTCTATAGACCAGGCTGGCCTCGAACTCACAGAGATCTGCCTGCCTCTGCCTCCCAAGTACTGTGACTAAAGGCATGCACCCCCACCGCTTGGCTATCCTATTTATTTTAATAACTGAAAAATACAAAATAAAGATCAAAAATGTAGTTAAACAAAGAAAAGAGAGGAGTAGAACTTGAGCATTTATGAAAGAGGATCTGAGTAGAAATTTGGGGTGTTTTCCTAGGAAGTGAAGCAAGAGGGGACGGGCAAGTGCTGTGACTGACGCTAACCTCAAGGGCCTGAGCTGTGTACATTTTATTCGCAAAGTGTGAGGAGCAAGCGCTCTGTGAGCACTGCTGACCTGTGCTTGCTGAAGATGCTTTGCCAGAGTCCTAACCACAGTGCCCTCTTCTTCATTTCTTCAAGAATGCCTGTGAGATCCTTCTGAAACGTCTTGAGCCTGTCATTAAGAAAAATCCAGAAGGTACATGGAGAGACTGGGTAAGTGTTCCTACTTATAAATCTGTTACTACATGTGAGGTGGCAATCCAAACCAGCACTGAGTGTCACAGCACAGAGAAACAGTTTCTCTAGTGCAGTGGTTCTCAACCCTTCTGATGCTGTGACCTTAATATATCTCCTCCTGTTGTTGGACCCCCAACTATAAAATTACTTCATTGCTACTTCGTACCTATAATTTTCTACTGTTATAAATCATAATATAAAACCTGTGTTTTCTGATGGTCTTAGATGACCTCTGTGAAAGGGTCATTCAACCCCCAAAGGGGTTGTGACCCACAGGTTAGGAACCGATACTGTAAGTCTCCATCCATAACTTTGGAAAGGTCTCCAAGTGAGTGATTTCTGTTAAGGTTGAGACAGCTGCTCCAGGTGTGTGGAGAGCTCTCCTGTGGAGATTGCACATAGGAAAGGGCAATCACCGGGAAGAGAAAATGGTGTGTTTGAGGAACATCTAGAAGCATCCTTCCACTCCACTTGTGGAGGAAGGAAGAGGAAAGAGCCTCCGTAAGCCACACAAAAACACTGATGCTCTGAGTAAGGGAAGAGAACTGAGTATATCTCAAAACAAATGACTATTTAAGCCAGGCAATGGTGGTGCACGCCTTTAATGCCAGCACTTGGGAGGCAGAGGCAGGCAGATCTCAGTGAGTCCAGCCTGGTCTACAAAGCAAGTGCCAGGACTGTCACGGCTGTTACACAGAGAAGCCCTGTCTCAAAAATAAAATAAAATAAAATAATGGTCTGGAAAGATGGCTCAGGGGTTAAGAACACTGACTGCTCTTCCAGAGGTCCTGAGTTCAATTCCCAGCAACCACATGGTGGCTCACAACCATCTGTAATGAGATATGGTGCCTTCTTCTGACCTGCTGGGATTTATGTAGACAGAACACTGTTTACATAATAAAAAATAAATAAATCTTTTTTAAAAAACCATAATAATAATAATAAATAAATGACTCATTTAATCCAACTTCACTAAACCCTACACTTTTTCATTAGAATAATTATCACACACACACCTTATATTGTTAACATTTAAAAATTAACTCCAAATAACTTTTGAAAAATATTTATTTATATTTTGTCAGACATGGTGGTGTATGCCTTTAATCCCAACACTTGGGATACAGAAGCAGGCAGATCTCTGAGTTCAAAGCCAGCATGGTCTACAAAGTGAATTCCAGGACAGTCAAGGCTACACAAAGAAATGCTGTCTCAAGAGAGAGAGTGTATGAGAAACAACAATAAAATGACTTATTTATTTTTATTTTGTCTGCGTGCTTGCACACACATTTATACTATTTGTATATGCAGTATATTTGGAGGCCAGAAGAGAGCATCAGATCCCTTGGAACTTGAGTTTCAGACAGTTGTGAGCTGCCATGTGGGTGCTGGGAACTGAAGCAGGGCCCTCTGCAAGAGTAGCAAGTACTTCTAACTATAAACTGCCTCTCCAGCCACCCTTCCAAGTAACTTTTGAGCTTATTCCCTATACCATGGATAAATCATAGGGTTTTAATTTGCATTGTTAACTCCAGGCTTTCAAACTCAGCCAAAGGAAATTGTCATATTCCTGCTGAGAAAAAAAGCTATGATGAGGACTGTTAGAGCAGAGCATTTGCATCAGGAAACACATGTCAATTTTTACATATGAAATATGCTCACTTTCACCTAACCAGTGGTATAGCTATTCAATCTCCTTAAATGTACCCATTCCACAGATAGAGGCATTGTCACCTAACAAGTGGTATATCTATTCAATCTCCTTAAATGTGCGTATTCCACAGATAGAAACAGCATTTGAACAAAGAATCAGCCTTTCAGCCACTGGATACTTCAGGTAAAACTCAAAACAATATATGGCTTGGCTAAGAGAACATAAGGTAATCCAATTCTTTGGGCCTCAGTCTTTATTCATAAATAAGATTGTATTATATAATTATGGGGGGTCTATTCTAGGCCCAAAATTCTGTGAATTCATATAAGTTTCTGAGCGGTATCATTAAAGAAATATTAAATAATCAACTTTACTAATTTCCCTGCCTTTGTCATAAAACCTTTCTCCTCACTATACAGTGTTGATCAGTGGAGTGGTCTCAATAAATTTATGTTAAGCAAATACATAAAGTAAAGAGAAGAGCTGACTATTAAATTAAAGAAGGATATGGCACTATGCTTACAATTTTGCCAAATAAACCCCCAACCTACACACACACATGCAGAAAAGAAATCTTGTGGGGAAAGGGGGAGAAGAGGTTACCCAGCCCAGTGCAACCTCAGAAAGCCCATCCAGCCCTCAGTTTGAATATCTCTTCAGGGTGGGAATTTGGTTCAGTGAGAGAGTGCTTGGGAGAGGCCCTGGGTTCAAACCACAGGTCTGCAAAAACTTAATGATAAAATAAAAACAGAACCTGTAACCCCTGCCTACATCTTCACGTGTAAATGAGTGAACCGAATCACCAGTCCTCTTTTATCAGCCTTGTTACTCTGTTATCAAGTCCCCTGTGACTTGGATTAGCATGTTCCATGGGCGATCTCCGGGAATACAGCCCCAAATTAATGGGGTTTCCCAATGTGCAGATAGGACCCAAGGTCAAACTTCCAACTGCCAACCTGGGAACAAACATCACTGTCTTCTTCATCTCTGACATCTTTCCCACAGCTCAGGCACATCCTCAGGCACACAACAGTTGAAATGAAAAAAAACAAAACAAAACGAAAACTAGTTGAAAGGAGTATCGGACAGCTGAAATGCTATTGTAAACTATGGTAATTTTTTTAAGATATAGACATTGTTTGTGCTTTCTGCCCTCCCACATTCTAAAAGACTTTATTCCCCCAGGGGCTACAAGGCCTTCATGGACTGGGAGAAGCAGGATGGAGAGCCATTCCCATACTATGTCTATGGAGCTGCATGTTCGGAGGTTGAAATTGACTGCCTGACAGGCGCTCACAAGGTAAGTCACGTTAACACTGTCCCAGGAAGTCAGAACAACAGCAGAACCACACTGAGCAGAAAGCGGCCCGGTGTCTACAAAAGAGAAGATAATTCTCTCAATTCTAAGGAGATTTCAAGAAATCCAGCCTTCTCTTGGAATTGTCACATAAAATAACAATGTAGTAGACAAAAAGGAAAGTCTGTGACCGGCTGAATGTGGTTAATGTATTCAAGTTATCATTTCATTTCAGATGACAGAGTCGCTTTCCAAAGTTATACCCCAAAGTGGATTTTGTTCCTCAAGGATGGACAAATTGTCAGAGGGGGGATATCATTTGGTAGCAGAGCTGGTGTTCATCCATAGCCCTTACTCCCAGGGCAGTACAGATATCCAAAAGAACAGACGCGGGTGGGGTGGGGTATGAAAAGAACGTTGTGCCTGCTGTTGATCATCAAGAAGCCACCTACTGAAGACAGGGAGTGTATCTAGACAAAGTCATTGTACCATAAATGACAAACCTGTGAATTATACTTCAGATAGCATTCTGGAACCTAAGACAGCAGAAGTATCAAATAGAATAAAGTATAACCAAAGTGTAGTAAGTTGCTACATTAGGAAAATTATAATGGCCATATAATATCAAAATACTTCTATTTATTGTTGGTTAACTTATCTTCTATTTCAATATTATAAGAAATAAAAATTTTGAGACAGGGTCTCAGGTAGCTGAGGCTGGCCTTGAACTCCCTAAGTGGTCAAAGATAATCTTGAACTTCCAATCTTCCTGCTTCCATCTCTCAAATGCTGGGCTTATAAACATATGTAGGCATATCCAGTTTATGCAAGGCTAGAGACCACACTCAGAATCTGTGCACACTAGGTGGCTGCCCTACTAACTAAGCCATGCCCCCAGTCCATGAATAAGATTGTTTAAAGTCGAAGTGAATGAAGAGATGTCTGGAGAGAAATGCCCTCCTATTTCATTCAAGTTTCTCTTTCTGATACATTATGTCGATGTGTTTTTACATTTACTTTTTCCCCTGAATGGGGCATGCTGTGTGGCACTGGGGAGGTCAGAAGACAGCTTGTAGCAATCAACTCACTCCTTCTACCACAAGGGCCCTAGGGATCACACTCAAGTTGTCAGCCATGGCAGCAAACACCTTTAACTGCTGAGCCATCTTGCTGGCCTCTGTGGCTCCATTTTTGAGATCATCTTAAAGAGGAAAACTCATGTGATCCCAGATTGTTCGTGTCTTGTTTTAGACTGTTTCCTGGTGGTTTTCACATGGAGGCACACATAGATGATGGTGTTTGTGCAGAAATCCAGGAGGTGAGCCTGGGGCCTGCCTCAGGCTCCCCTCAAGGACCCAGGTGCCAGTGTTCCTGAATTCCTGAGGCTCTGCCTTAGTGGGAAGCTGGTTTTGGTGACAAACTAGTCATAAGACCCTCCACACAGACAGGTGTGTTGCCAGATTTAGCAAATAAAAACATGGGTTGGCTAATTAAACTTGAATTTCAAGGAAATAACAAATACATTTCCAGAAGAAATATGCCCCACAAAGTTCTTAGAACATACTTATTTTATCTGTCAGCTCTGCCTAACAAATCCCTAAAGAAACAAACACAGAGTTTTTCCAGAATTTATGGTGTCAGAGAGTTAAAATTTGGTCTTTTCTGCACCTTCCGGTTTATATGTATACCTAAAGATCCAGAAATTTCAGTATGGTGTTAACTCTTAAAAACAGTTTGTTCTTTGATGAGACAAAAATTCCATTAACCAACAAGAAACCAGAGACATTGAATCACCAGCCCACTGTGGCCAGTTCTGGGGATGGCTGCAGCTGGTAAGCAAAGGTTTCCATCTGCTGAGTTGCCATCTCTTTCCCCTGTTCCATACCCACGGCACAAACCACGTCAATTGTCAAGGTAAATGTACAATAAGAAGGGTTGAGGCGTCCCCAGCCTCCTTTCCTACCCAGGTTGAGAAAGATGGCTGATTCTAGGGCCTGGGAGACCAGGATTTGAGTCAGAAGAGAACTGCCAACTAGGACATGGTGGGAAACACCCATAATCTCAACATTTGAGCAACTGAAGCCAGAGGACCACAAGTTCAAGACCAGCCTGGGCTACACAGCAAGACTCGGTTTCAAAAACACAACAAAGAGAAGGGCTAGGGATATAGTCCAGTTGATAGCATATTTGCCTATCATGAAGGAAGCCCTGGCTTGCATACCAATCCCAGTACTGCATAAAACTAGGTGTGGTGGTCCCAGAAACAGCTGACCTAGGGGAGCTCATGGACCCCAGACTAATGGCTGAGAGGTCAGCATGGGACTGATCCAGACTCCCTGAATATGGGAGTCAGTGAGGAGGCCTTGGCAATCTATGGGGCCTCCGGTAGTAGATCAGTATTTATCCCTGGCATACCAATGGACCTTGGGAGCCCATTCCTCATGGAGGGATGCTCTCTCAGCCTGGACCTAGGCCCTGTCCCAGATGATAGGACAGACTTTAGAGATCCCCCATGGAGGGCCTTACACTCCCTGGGGAGTGGAGGGGGGATGGGGTGGGGAGTTGGGGGGCAGGGAGGAAAGAAGGGAGAGGGATCTGGGATTGACATGTGAAGCAAGATTGTTTCTAATTTAAATTAAAAAATTATGACAAAAAAAAACCTACGTGTGGTAGCCCATTACTATAATCCCAGCCCTTTAGAGGTACAAGGCAGAAGGATCTGGTAAGGCCAGCCTGAGTTACATGAGAACCTGTTCAAAGGAAGTAAGGAAGAAAGGAACAGGGAGGGAGGGAGTTCTAATCCAAAGACTAGAAAGGAGAAACCCAGATTTGTTTGTTTGTTTTTCGTTTTCTGAGGCAAGGTTTCTCTATATAACAGTCCTGGCTGTCCTGGAACTTGCTCTGTAGACCAGTCTGGCCTTGAACTCACAGATCCACCTGCCTCTACCTCCTGAGTGCTGGTATTAAAGGCGTGCAACACCAATGACCAGTGAGAAGCTCAGATATTAAGCCTAAACAAAGAAAGATATTACCAGAATAAATACTGATGAATGGTAGGCAAAGGAAAGTCTAGAGGTATTCCTGAGTTAGCCCAGAAACACTTAGGAGCCTTTTGAGGCCCCCTGCAACCAATGTGTGCATGCGCGTGCGCGCACACACACACACACACACACACCGAGAGAGAGAGAGAGAGAGAGAGAGAGAGAGAGAGAGAGAGAGAGAGAGAGAGAGTGCCAAACAGAAGAGCCAGATACCTTCACTGTCTCTCAGAGAAGGAAGCAGACCAACAAAGATTGAGAATCAACACTTGGCCTCAACACTCACCTTGACCCCTTCTAAAATCTTGCAAGCCCCAAACTTACACTGTACTACATGATTTTCTCAGTAAAATGACAACGATGCCACCTGCATCCAACCCTTTCAAGGACTAGATATGCTCATGACTTCTACTAGAGCAATGCAACTAAGTAGAGAATCTGGTGGACAAGCAGGCTCAATCATTTACCAGGTGACTCACTCACACACACACCAACATGCCCTGGACTTTGGAGTCACTAGCAGGAATCAAAACAATACATGCAGTTCTTCCAGATCCTTGCCAGGCCTGGCACCACGTTTGAAGTTTGTCAGATGTCTTCCAAATTCTGATGCCTGGGCAGTGGTTCTGGAATAGTAAGAAGCCCTTTGAAATTCCTTTTTTTTTTTTTAATTGAGGGATAGGAGGTACTGTATATGCTACAACACACATGTGAAGATCAGAGGACAACTTTCAGAATTCAGGTCTCTCCTTCCACCATATGGGTCCAGGGTTTGAACACAAGGTCACCAATTGCCTGTATGTTCTGAGCTAACCTAAAAATAGTATTTTTTAAATTTATTTGTGTGTGTGTGTGTGTGTGTGTGTGTGTGTGTGTGTGTGTGTGATACTAGGGATCAAGCATATAGCCTTGTGCATACTAAACAAGCACTCTAATGCTGAGCTATATCCTCCACCCCTAAAAATAGTATTTTAATTCAAGTTTTTATAAAGAGGTCATTTTTGTTTGTCTCAGAAAATCAGAACAGACATTGTCATGGATGCATGTTGCAGCCTGAATCCAGCCATTGATGTTGGGCAGGTAGGTGCTGGCCCACCTGGGTGGAAGCCCCTTCCTAAGAGTGGTTGATGAGTAATTAAAGAACTTCACACAATAGTATGTTGCCACGCGGTTTAAAATTGTCATCCCCCCTTCAGATAGAAGGTGCATTTATTCAAGGAATGGGCCTTTATACCACTGAAGAGCTGCACTATTCTCCAGAAGGGGTCTTGTACTCTCGGAGCCCAGATGAATACAAAATTCCGACTGTCACTGATGTCCCTGAGCAGTTCAACGTGTCCTTGTTGCCATCATCTCAGACCCCACTAACCATCTACTCGTCTAAGGTAAGCATATAAACTAGCCCCTCCACACCAGAGCAGCCCAGGGAGCATGGCCAGCTAAAGCCACCAGACAAAACAAAAACTGGATGCTTGGAGTTATCTGGACCAGGCCACTTGGAAACCAGCCACCTAGGGAAAACTGAGGCCCAAGAAAGAGAAATGAGCCTCCCAGGAGCAACTCTGGGCCCTGGTCTCATTAATGCCATCCCTTACATTTGCCATAAAGTATGTGTGTGTGTGTGTGTGTGTGTGTGTGTGTGTGTGTGTGTTTGCACTTCTTGGGAGAATAACATTTTTTATTTAAAAACTTTGTCTATTTCTCTTTCTTATTTATTTATTTATTTATTTATTTATTTATTTATTTTTTGAGACAGGGTTTGTCTGTGTAGTCCTTGGTTGTTCTGGAGCCCATTCTTTAGACCAGGCTGGCCTTGAACTCACAGATATCCACCTGCCTCTGCCTCCAGAGTGCTGGGATTTAAGGAGGCATGTGCCACCACCGCCCAGCTGTCTATTTCTTGGTTTTTGAGATGGCCAGAATGACCTCAAACTCACAGCATAGGCTTGAACTCTTTTTTTTTTTAAGATTTATTTATTTATTATGTGTATATAGTGTTCTGCTGGCATGTATGCCTGCACGCCAGAAGAGGGCACCAGATCTCATTACAGATGGTTGTGAGCCACCATGTGGTTGCTGGGAATTGAACTCAGGACCTCTGGAAGTGCAGCCAGTGCTCTTAACCTCTGAGCCATCTCTCCAGCCCCAGACTTGAACTCCAACCTCCACCTCCCAAGGGATGACCAGGCTGTGCCACCATGCTCAACTCTCATCTAAGAATGGAGAATATAATATCGGGCTCTGGAGGAAAGGCTCCAGCTCCAGCAGTAACACAAGAACATGGCTGCAATCCCCAAAACCCACATAAAAGTTCTGGGTGTGGTAATATACTCTTAGAACCCCAGAACTGGGGAGACAGAGACAAGAGGACCTCTGGGGCTCTCTGGCCAGTTGGTCCAGCCTAATTGGTAAGTTCCAGTCCCGTAAGAGGCTCTGCCTCAAAGGAGATTGAGAGCATTTCCAAGGACGGTAACTTGTGAAAGAGCCCAGGTCAGCAAAGGACACACCAAGACCAAGTTCTCAGCACAGAGGATATGTATTTGCTCCAGAGGGACAGAGGGCATAAGAGACAAAGACAGGAGATGGAGGGCGAGGGAGAAGGGGGAGGAACAGGTGTTATGAGATATATGTACACTGTGTGAAGGTGTATTGCTGTGACTAGCATAATAAAAGCTAAATAGCCAATATCTAGGCAGGAAGTATAGGTGGAACTTGCAGGCAGACAGAGGAAGTAGGAGGAGATGATAGAGACATGGAAGAAGCAGGATGGGTGGCACATGACAGAACATAGATTTTTTAAAAATGGGTTAATTTAAGTTATAAGAGCTAGTTGATACCATTGAAACGTTAGACATCAGGGAATTGAAGATCTTGTTCCTACTCGGGGGCCCACCATCCTCCTTTGCTCTTAGGTAAATCACCCACCTCTGAGGGACTTGGGGTCCTCAGCCAAACCCAGAAATTAATCTAGAATCTAGAACAGCTGTTGTACCCAAATTCTGAAGCCCCAAATCACCAAGAGACCTGTTCCAATGCAAAAGCAAAGAGTCTTTTATTGTTTAATGAGTTAGCTGTCTTAACTCGTTTCCCTCGTCCATCCAACACAGCCATCAGCATGAGAAGGACCAAAGGTGCCTCGAGGTGAAGAATTTATTGGGAGAAGCAAGGGGAGTATCTAGGGGTAGGCAACAGTCTCGGGATTGGTGCACTTCTGGGCTTGGGTGGCCTGTCCTGTGTAGGGGAAGCTGTAGCCACACCTTCTTAGGCGCTGGCTACAGGAGTACCTGAGGGCTTGTGAGGGCGTGGTCAGAGTGAGTAGGGGGACTGCGTTTCGGTTTCGGTTTCTCTTTGCTTCTTGCTGTACAGACTACCACCGGCTGGCTGGTTCGCTCTGTAAGTAAGGCTTTTCCCTATTAAATACCCTTATATTTCTACCTGACTCCGTATTGGTAATTACCTACTATAGTCCTGTGTTGATTGTCAACTGGTGGTTATGACCTATAGGCCCTCCCAGGGTGGTTGCTATAACTCTGCACATCACTGTTGTGCCACTTTTACCATAAAGCATGTCTAGAACCCACCAGCTAACTTCTGATTGGTTCCTTGCCACATGGAGGATATCTGACCTCCTAGTGACTAGGAGGTCCTGCAAGGTCAGAAGGCCAGAAACTAAGCAACATGTGCTGAGTCAGAGAGGCCTTCATCTTGCTGGGTCTTTTCTGCAGCCTGTCATGGCTGCTAAAGCAGGGGGCTGGGTGAGGGTCTAGTCCCTTCACAGCCAGTCCCAAATGTGGTGAGAATGTCCTATCCACCCTACCTTGACTCCCCACTCCAAGACAGACAGATACCTGGGCAGGGGGAGATTAATAACATCTAGATGCATTTCTAGCTGAAAGAATTCAAAGGACTTTTCAGCAGTGCTCAGAGGCCCGGGATGTGGCTAAGCAGCTTTCAGCATGCAAGACAGCCCTCACACCCAAGAATCATGGGGCTTCAAATGTCAATAGTGTCAGGAAGCAAAGCCACCACCAACCTTTATTAATGACTAAAGGGAAGGAAGAGCAAATTAAAATAAAGGTCAACTTTGTTTGCATAGCTTTATGCAGATCATGACAAACCTCATGTAAGGTGTAAGATGTAAAGTCTTCCTTAAAATCCTCTAGGAAACGTCTGTGTAGGAGTTGCTAGGCCTCCAACTCCAGACAAATGGCCAACTGAGGTGCCTGTTTAACATATTAAAATGGACCTGGCTGTCAGGTTCTCCCAGCTTCCTTCAGTCCCTAACTGCTAAAGGATATGGCTGGCATACCCCACCCGCTACCCTAAACTTCTCCATCTCTGGGTCTGGGCTGCCCTTCCTCCAGCTGCCCTTCCTACATAATCCAGTCCTTTTGGTTACCTGGCCTTTAGGTCTACCCTTTACCCTCCCGGTCTCTGGGTCTCCTGGCCATACCCTCTCCCCTCTCCCTCTGTTCACATGGCCCAGCTCAGTCTGGTCGTGTTCACTCTGTACTTTCCCAGATGTCCCTGCCTCTGGCTGTGCTCTCCCTTTTCTCTACAATAAACTTTCTCCTTCACCATACCTTGGAGTAGTCATGTCCTTACTTTTTAATTACTTGCTTCTCATTTAGGAGTACATTGATTTTCTATTCTGAAACAAGAAAAATTACTGCAGGAATTTCATCATTTCCAAACTGAATGCCCCCCAGCCTAGGCATCACCTTTGGATGTGGGTTGGTGAGGCCATCACAGATCCAGAGGGAGGAGCATCGACAGGGCCTTCAGACTCTTGCTAGAGTAGAAGCCATCTGCAGGGGGGAGGTCAAAAGCAGCCCAGCGCCTACAGAGAACAGCTTCAAGTCAAGAATTCCCAGGCAGGGCAGCCAGTGTGGCGGGCATGCCTGTAATCTCAGCCCTCAATGAAGACAGGAGGATCATGACTTCCATGCCAGCCTCGGCTACAGAGGAAGAGCTCTCTAGATAAAAATAAGGACCAAGAGGGGCATGATGGTGTATTTCTATAATGCTAACATGCAGGAAACAAAGGCAGGAAGGTTTGGGGATTGGATGTTCAAAGCCAGCTTAGTCTACTTCAAAGCACATTTCAGTCTGGCTTCCACAGCAAGGCCTTGTCTCAGAAACCAAACTTAGACAAATACCCTGCCTTTTGTAGCCTGGGAATCATAAGGAGTTGTTTCCTCTTCTCTTGAAGTTGGCAAGTCCAAACCATTGACTATTCTAATCAGGGTGCCCTTCCCTCACCACACAGCAGTACATGTACACAGTCTTAATAGGTTTTCTGTCACCTCCCCATAATAGGTTTCTCCACCATTTCGGTAAGATAGATCAAGCTGACTTGAAAAGGTATAACAAATGTTTATTTGAGCACAGCAACTCGTGGCCAGGTTCTCCAATCCCACAGAGCACACAAAGGGAAACAGGGAGACTTTATAGATTGTAGGCGATATGGTGGTGACATGTCCAACACAAGCTGGGTTTGTGCCCAAATATGGTCAAAAGCTGAATGCTTAGGTGAGGACTTGGGCTGCTGTCAGCAACAGGGGAGGAAATTGTAGTAGTCACCAAGAATGAGGAATTGGACTTTTGGGCTCCTTTTCTTTGTTGGAGATTCTCTAAGGGGGCAGGGTTTGAAGAGGAGAGATAGGAATGGGACTTTCTGGGTCAATCAAGATTGAGTTGGAGGTTCCAACTGAACACTTATGTGTGCACATACATGTAAACACACATGCATTCCTTTCCCATAGAATAAAATACTTAACCCAGAGAGAATTAAAGATCCAGAAATGCCGGGCGGTGGTGGCGCATGCCTTTAGTCCCAGCACTCGGGAGGCAGAGGCAGGCAGATCTCTGTGAGTTCGAGGCCAGCCTGGTCTACAAGAGCTAGTTCCAGGACAGCTTCCAAAGCCACAGAGAAACCCTGTCTTGAAAAAAAAAAAAAAAAAAAAAGATCCAGAAAGTTCAGTTGTTGTTTTTTTTTTAAGAGCTCTAGGAGTTTTAGTTGGTCAACAAACTGGATGATAAACATTTGACATGTTTGAAAAGTGATTTATAGAAAACTGTTTGCCGGGGATGAGAATACACTGGACAAGATGAGGCCCTGCCCCCAAAGTAACTTGTTGTCCACTATAGAAACTCTTAAAGCAAATGTGTTACAGAAGCAGGTGATTTCTTTGAGTTCAACCTGGTCTACACAGTGGGTTTCAGGCCAGCCAGAGCCACAAAGTGATACACTGTCTGAAGAAAAAAAACAAAAACAAAAACAAAACAAACAAAAAAACCCGATAAATTAGGCAAATGTGTTTTCTTACAGGGCCTTGGGGAGTCTGGGATGTTCCTGGGGTCATCTGTGTTTTTTGCCATTGCTGATGCGGTAGCTGCAGCACGAAGAGAAAGAGACGTGGCTGAGGACTTCACCGTACAGAGCCCAGCGACACCAGAGCGCGTGCGCATGGCCTGTGCAGATCGGTTCACAGACATGGTAGGCTGTCACTCTGTTCCCACGAGCTCAGCTCTACTTCCTGCTCCTTTGGATTCTTCCACAAATCATGACCTAACCTGTGTCTAGTTGATCAAGCTATAAAATGTTGAGAGTAAATCACACAGTGGAATGTGGTGGCACATATTTGTCATCTCCGAAGCTGGAGGGCTGAGGCAGGAGAATCACCAGCAGTGGTTCAGACATTCATCCCACTCTCGTGAACACAGCAATGATGCCAGCCATCTGCCTCCGACCCCAGTGTCTCCTCTGTAGGCAGAGGCAGGGACCTGACCCTGTGCCTCAGGGCCCCTGTGTAGCATTGCCCTGACTTGCTCATCACATGGCCACTGTAAGACTGTCTCTTAACCAAAAGCTTAACCGCATGTGACCTTCAAACAGTATTAGCGGTCCCATTTTACAATTATCAGGATCCTGTTTCTGGAATGGAAGCAGTGTGGAAACTACATCTTGTTTCCAAATTCTGAACCCCCAAATCACCAAGAGACCCATTCTAACACAAAAACAGAGTCTTTAATATTTAAGTTAACTGTATTAACTTGGGTCTTCCATCCATCCAACTCAGTGGATGGGGGAACCTCAAGGCAGGGAATTTATTGGGTAGAGTAAAGGGAGTGTCTGGGGGTACACAACAGTCTCAGGACTGGTGCCCTTCCAGGCTTGGATGACCAGTCCTATGTTGATTGATCAACTGGTTGCTATGGCCTATAAGCCCTCCCAGGGCAGTTGCTATGCTCTTTAAGCCTCTGTCACTGTAAAGCACATCCAGAGCTCATAAAGTACATCCAGAGCCTGCCAGCTAACTTCTGATTGGTTCCTTGCCACATGGAAGGTATCTGATCTCCTAGTGACTAAGAGGTCCTGCAAGGTCAGAAACTCAGCAACATGTGCTGAGTCAGAGGCTTACATCTTGCTGGGTCTTTTCTGCATCCTGTCATGGCTGCTAAAGCAGGGGGCTGGGTTAGGGTCTGGTCCCTTCACTATACACACATAAGAAAGAGCTCTTTTGAGTCTTCCTGCTCACCCGAGGATGGCTCCTGCTCTCCAGCCTTCCGACAGCCCAGCTCCTGGAAAACGGGATCTGGGATTTCCACAGATCTAGAATGTCTTTAGCAATCTGGTTGTTTGGCAAAGCTGTCACACACAGTGGGAAGAAGTGACTCATTTAGCTTATTCACTATTCAGGACGAGGCAGCTGGACTCTGAGGCATATGGGGTGAGACAGAGCTACATAGCAAGAACCTATATCAAAAAAGAAAAGGGGACCGGGATTGGTGGTGGCGCACGCCTTTAATCCCAGCACTCAGGAGGCAGAGGCAGGCGGATCTCTATGAGTTCAATACCAGCCTGGTCTCCAAAACTACAGAGAAACCCTATCTCGAACGCCCCCCCCCAAAAAAAAAGAAAGAAAAGGGAAGGGGGAGGGGAGGAGAGGAGAGGTCAGGGCAGGGCAGGGAAGGGAAGGGGAGGGAAGGGAAGAAGGAAAGGCTGAGGTGGCTCAAGGGTTAAGAGTGCTTGTATGCTGGGCGATGGTGGTGCAAGCCTTTAATCCCAGCAATCAGGAGGCAGAGGCAGGTGGATCTCTGTGAGTTTGACACCAGCCAGGTCTACAAGATCTAGTTCCAGGTCAGCCTCCAAAGCCACAGAGAAACCCTGTCTTGAAAAAAAAAAAAAAAAAAAAAAAAAAAAAAAGAGTGCTTGTATTCCTGAGAACCAACATCAGGCGGCTCACAACTACTTGTTATGCCAGCTCCAAGAGATATGACACTTTCTTCTAGTCTCTGTGGGCGCCTGCACTCTCATGCACATAGAACATAATACTAGCAGCTTTTGTATTTCACCTTTAAATTCTGAAATTAAAAAACAGAGCTTGTTCTGATTACTAAGGAAGTGAGACAGCAGTCCATGTCTTAGGACAGGAGCCTTGGAAAGTTCAGGACCTCCTCATTTGGTAACCTCTTCCTCGCCATTACAGAAATAATAACTTAAACAGAAATGATGGTAAAACACTCAGTACCTTTCCCTTGGAACTAAATGAAATAATGTGTGTTAAACTACTGTGTAAATACAAGTAATCCCATAAACACTGGAGTTAAGTTTTTCCCTAAATATCCATAACTGTTCATGACCTTCAAAACATGCCTCTCCTATGAGGCTGAAAAAGTATTTCCACATTAAACCAAGTTGACCAGCTGAGGCCAGAGCAAACAGCAACTTAAAACTAAAAGCCACATTCTCAAGAGTAAACTAGATATTTTGTTACTGAGACAAAACAAAACTCCCATTGAGTAAACTTTTATTACACAGAGTTTTGATTCTCAAGGCTTTTGTGTTTTGTTTTGATGCTTCCTTTGTATGTGCATGCTGGAGGCGGTCTCCCTTCACCCTGTGGGTCCCAGGGATAGAACTTGGGTCCTAGGGCTTGGCTGTATGTGCCTTCACCCAATAGGCCTTCTCACTAGCCCTACACAGAACTTGATTTGTTGAGTATTTGGGTTTGGTCCTCTCTCGAATTAAACATTGGTTTTGTCGTGAGCAGTTCTGAGCGGCCTGACACAACTGGAGGCATGATCTCTATGTAATTTCCTTTTTAGTGATGGGAGAAAGAAAAATGTGTTTTGTGTAATCATCTACAATTCCACAAGAAAAGAATTCCCTTAAATATATAAAAAGAAAGAGGCATAATACAAAGTTTCAAATTAATACTTCTTAGGAACAGGATTAAATTTTTTTTTAGTTTTAAAATAAGATTTTTAAATTAACCTCTCCCTCTCTCCCTCTCTCTCTCTCTCTCTCACTCTCTCTCTCTCTCTCTCTCTCTCTCTCTCTCTCTCTCTCTCTCTCTCTCCTTGTGGAGAGTGTGTGTGTGTGTGTGTGTGTGTGTGTGTGTGTGTGTGTGTGTGTGTGTGTGTCAGAGGACAACTCTCAGGACTTAATTCTTTCTACAGGTCCCAGGGATTGACCTGCTAAACCATCTTGCCAGCCTTAAAAAAAAAGAAAACTTGTTACAATTTAAGACAGGAAGGATTTCATGTCCTTATAGATTAGAGGGGGGAAAATGCTACCTTGAGGAATTTGGTGATAAGATACATTCAAAAATAAGCATGGTGTGGTGGCACATGCCTTTATTCCCAGCACTTGGGAGACAGAGGCAGAGGCAGGTGGATCTCTGTGAGTTTGAGGCCAGCCTTGTCTACAGAGTGAATTCTAGGGCAGCCAGGATTATACAGAGAAACCCTGTCCAAAAAAAAAAAAAAAACCTCAGGACCTTGTTATTACCAGTAAGGAGGAAAAAATTAAATAGCTATAAAGCTATGATCTGTATGAGGATTCTGGGTGAGGAGTGGGCTTGCCCAGCTTCACAAAGCCCTAAATTCAATTAGGGAGAAGGGAAAAAAAAAAAAAGGAAGAAGAGATGAGATCTACCGAATGACACAGTAGAAACATAAACTCAATTAGGAAGTTGTTTCCATTTCCAGAAGGCTAAAATCAAACAACCCAGCCTAGAAACAAGTTTGCAAATCGGTTTTTAGTTCACAGGAGGTTTGAATGGCAGCTGACTCATGAAGGAGCCGCCCAAGCACCACAAACAGGGAAGTCCTTTCCTTCTTAGGTTAGTTCTCCACTGCAAGCAGCCAGACCTACCACTGTGTGAGAGACTGGCCTGGATTCTGAAGGCTTACTTTTCACCTGCAGACACTAAGGGGGTCTCCAGGCACGGACAGTAACAGTAAATGGGCCACCTGCTTAGTTCACTAAAGGGAGCCCCCTCCTCCCAGATGGCAGAAGAGAGGTAGATGGGAACACAATGTCCTGCATAAAGGCCATCTACCTACGCTAGTCGCTCGAGATGAAGTGTGCTGGACCCTCATGCTGTATTTCTCTGCACTAGAGGTATTGGTACTGCCAGTCCCACAGGACTGCATTCCATTTCCTGGGGCAACAAGTAGAAACATGCAGCCTCCAGCATGTTCAGCTACAATCTTAGCCACAGATGATCAGCAGGGCCTTAGCCTCAGTCATATGCATTCTTTGAGGCAGAAAATAGAGCAGACTGCATGATCTGTACAGACTTCTCAGGGCAGAGTCTCCCCCAAGTACTGAAGCTACACTCCTGAGATGCACGCGCGTAGACATGTATGCACACAGACTCCTGGCTCACCACACCCCTCTCCCACCCCTTAAGCTGTCTTGGAAGAGGTTTGGTACTTAGCTTGTAAAACTGGTTCTACTTTAAACACGGATGTCTGGGATGCAGGGACTAGATTTCCTGGTAACATGACACAGCAGTCATTCTACTACTGAATCTGTCTTGCCTGGCACTGTTTTGGTGGTCGTGGTGATGATGGTGTGGTGTGTTTTTGTACTGCCAGCAATGGGCTGCAGGTCTTCACACAGATTAGGTGTACTCTCTCTGTCTGGCCTGCATCCCACCCTCCAATACTGTTATTTAATGGATATTTTAAATTTTATTTATTTATTCATTTATCATGTACACAGTGTTCTGCCTGCATGTGTATCTGCACACCGAAGAGGGCACCAGATCTCATAACGGATGGTTGTGAGCCACCATGTGGTTGCTGGGAATTAAACTGGGTCCTCTGGAAGAGCAGTCAGTGCTCTTAACCTCTGAGTCATCTCTCCAGTGCAAATGGAATTTTTTTAAATCTAAAAACTCTCCCGGTGACAAGAGGATCAGATGGTTAAGATCACCCTTAGCTATGAGTTGGAGACAAACCTGGGCTACATAAGACGCTGTCTCAGAGGAAAAAGGAAAGTGCCCTACCCTGAGATGTACACCTAAAGAACTGTTGAGGCCACTGAGTGCATTGGTTCTCACTTAGTTCTTGTTGGCCTTGTTCTGACTGAAGATGACCTCGAAGTGTGCTGTCCTGATGGGGCAGCTGTCCTAACTCAGGAAGTCCACCTATCTATCTTCCTGTGCTCCGCTGATGTTTCCCCAACAGCTCATGTCAGCATCAGCACCTTGTATGAAATAAAGCCATCCATTGGGAAAAGTCACTTGAAGGGATGGTGAGATGGCTTAGCAGGTAAAGGTCTGTATGTCTGTGTCTCTGTGTGTCTGTATACCTGTGTGCCTACCTCTAACAAAGGGCTTTGTTCTCTTTTACTGAATGTGATACAGGAAGTATCACATGAAAGATATTTTACAGAAATCTTTAACTGAGTTTTATAAGCGATTAAGTCACTGACTCCAGATGACCCCCAACTGACCAGATAACAAGCATCACTGTTTATCAACCGATACCCACAAGTGCTGTGTACAACATTTATGGTGGCTATTTATTTTAGAAAATCGCTTTCGACTTCTGTACTTGCTGCTTTCATACAGAATACACATGCATTGTTCTGAGTCAGGGGAATGGAAGAGCACATAACTCAAGATCACAGCTATGTATTAGCTTAGACTGTAAAAGGTGACTACATGGGAAATCGAAGGTAAGGGTGATTGTTATGTTCTCTTAAAAGCGGGTGAAACAAACAGGCTGAGTCCACAATAGGGTCCTAAGTCTTAGTTGACTTCAAGAAGTATTAACTCTAGATGTGAGTTCTTACAGTAGTTCCAGTCTCTTAGAATGTAAGAGATATTTTTATCATAATACATTGCCACAGGAATATAGTAAGGATACACTTCTAAAGGCACATGCAACTTACAACTTATATACATTCTACAAACAACTTACATGTGTATTACATATCTCACTGTCATCTTAAATCTCCATCCAGAGTTTTGAGTTTTAGTAGTATGAGCCGAAGTTTACCTTGGGACACTGTGGAGGGCCTCTGTACCTGCACAAGTGATTAGATCTAGTACACCCTGGGTATGTATGTGTGGTGGTCCAGGCTTCCTCTTGGATAATTTGTTTCTCTCATAGGCCAATTTTTCATCCCTTGCACAAGGCCTTTTAGACTTCAGTGTCTATCAGATTCTTTTGCCTCACCTCCTGTCTGGGTTTTATTCCACATTTATGTATGTATGTGCATGTTTGTAGTGGTCATCCTTTACCCCCTGAGCCATCTCATCAAAGTGCAGTTTTTACTGGGAGTAGGTGACACAGGCAAAAAATGACTCTCATAGCTGACCTTGCTCCAGATGGTATCAGGTAGGATATACCAAAGATTTAGGGGTTCTCTCCAAGGAACTACAAAGGCCAAACCTTTCTTTGGAATATGTAGGATTTGGATAGCCCAGACCTGCTGAGTTGATCCATATTGCATGATGATGGTGATGGTGAATCCGAGGCTACCATTTCCATTAATTTTAATTGATGGCAACTAGCAAAGATGCTGGACAACTAAACAAAAGAGACTGGTGTAAACAGAGGCAGAGCTTTTTGTCCTGGCTGCCGAGTTCCAAATAATCACACAGAAGCTTATGTTAATTAAAAAAATGTTTGACTTATTGCTCAGGCTTATTACTAACTAGCTCTTACAACTTAAATAAACCCATTTTTTAAATTTTATTTATTTATTATGTAAACAACATTCTGCTCCCATGTATATCTGCACACCAGAAGAGCGCACCAGATCTCATAATGGATGGTTGTGAGCCACCATGTGGTTGTTGGGAATTGAACTCAGGACCTCTGGAAGAGAAGTCAGTGCTCTTAACCTCTGAGCCATCTCTCCAGCCCCATTTCTTTTTTTTTTTTTTAAGAATTATTTATTATGTGTACAATGGGCTAGACCTTTAATCCCAGCCCTCAGGAGGCAGAGACAGGCAGATCTCTGTGAGTTCAAGGCCAGCCTGGTCTACAGAGCAAGTTCCAGGACAGGCTCCAAAGCACTATAGAGAAACCCTATCTCAGGAAAAAAAAAATATGTGTACGGTGTTCTGCCTGCATGTTGCCTATAGCCCCAATAAATTCATTTCCATTCATCTACATTTTGCCACATGGCTTTGTGGCTTTACCTGTTCTCTAGCATGTCTTGTTCCTCTGGTGGCTGGCTCACATCTCTCTTGACTCCACCCCTCTTCTCTGTTTGGCTTTCCCTTCTAGCCTTATTCTACCTTGCTATAGGCCAAATCAGCTTCTTTATTAACCAATGAGAGCAATGCATATTTACAGCGCACAGAAGAGTTATCCCACTACAGACTGGCCCCAGCTATTATCTAAGAAGTGGACTTTACGTACTCATGAAATTGTCCTTGACCTCTGCAGTGAATGTGTTGTTCTGATCAGAGTTATCAAGAGTCAGCCAAGTCCAGAACAGCGCCAAGAGGAGGAGAGGGTGGCTCAGGCTCAGGCAGGAGGCAAAGGATAGTTATCAGCCAAGATCAGAGTGGGACAATTTAAATCCCAGACTAAGAAAGGAAGCACTGCTAGCCCAAGAAACTAGAGAGTCCTTAGACCTTAGACAAGGGGAGGAGGGTAGATTGAATATTGATCTCCACCCTAGAACAAGAAGGCAGCCTAGGGGTCCAGATCTGCTGAAAAAAATAAGAAACTGGCTTTTTGTTTGGATTGATTCGGGTTTTTTTTTAAAAAAAAAAATTTCTTAACTTTTTTTTTTTTTTTTTTTTTTTTTTTTTTTTTTTTTTTTTTTAATTCCGGGTGTGGGTGGAATTCAGAGGACAGCTTGGAGGAATCCGATCTCTCCTTCCACCATGTACCTGGGAAATCAAACTCAGGTTGTCAAGGTTGACAGCAAGTGCCTTTATCCACCAAGCCTACCTTGCCAGTTGCTGGTTTTCAGACAAGGTCTCATTATGTAGTCTGGCCTGGAACTCACTATGTAGAGGAGGCTGGCCTCGAACTTTCAATGACCCTCTTGCTTCTGCCTCCCAAGTGTTAGATTACCAACTGTGCCACCACATCCAGCTAGTAATTGAGTTTTAAAGACTAAAGAATCCCACCTTGGTTCTGGCTCTGAACTCCTATCTCGAGCTTGTACAGCAGTGGCGTAGGAGCCGAGTGGAAGCTAGTCAGGGTGATCACGGACATGCAGCTCAACATCTTCGCCAACATGCTGGGCGTGATGCTTTTATTGCTTGTGGTTCTCTATCACTATGTGGCAGCCAACAATCCCAAGAAGCAAGAATGAAAGTAGTGCTCTCTCCGCCCCAGGGTTCCAGGACATGGAAGGTGTGAGGGGCCTTCACACTTCATCTCTCCCACCCATCACAGCATACAAAGCAACCACACCTGGAATTTCTTTTACCATAAGAGTGGATTTGCCTCAGATTAGATCTAGGACCTTTGTCTAGTGTTTAGCCCAGGCAATACAAAGTTAGAGCTTATATACATGTCCTAAAAGACAGAGTTGCAGAAATTTTCCTTTCTTTTTTCCCCAAGACAGGGTTTCTTTGTGTAACATCCCTGGCTGTCCTGGAACTCATAGAGTGAGCTCCAGGACAGCCAGGGCTAAACAGAGAAACCCTGTCTCAGAAAACCACAGGACTGGGGCATGGGAGTGAGTTAGTATTTGATGCTGGCCTTTTTAGCGTAGTTGTGTCAAGCCTGGTGCTGATAAAAGGTATCATTTGAAAGAAATGCCAGTTTCCCCAGGAACCAGAAAAACCCTGCCTTCTGTTATGAGAAGTTTTTTTAAAACCTTAAGATTTGATACAGCCAGGCATGGTGGTGCTCACCTTTAATCCCAGCACTTAGAGGGCAGAGGCAGGTAGATCTCTGTGGGTTTCAGGCCAGCCTGATCTATAGAGTTCTAGGCCAGCCACAGGCACATAATGAGAACCTGTCTCAAATAAATAAATAAACATAAATAAAGATTTGGTATGATTTCTCTGGTCGAGTACTGTAGTAACATATGCATTCCAGTACACATGCTTCATTTTGCTCTTTTATTTCTTTTTTTTCCCCTTAGATCCCAAGAGATGACCCAAAGACATTTAAACCTTGGTCTATACCTATAGCTTAAGCTGCTGTCATCTCCTAAGAGGTAAGATTGTTAAATTAAATGATAATCACTCCAAGACAGGGAAAAGCGGTTTTCAAAGTATGTTCCATGGAACCCTAGATTTATGCAAGTGTTCAGTCAGATCACTGTATCTCAGCCCGACATTTTAAGTTACCGAATTAAGCATTCGTGGCCTTGAATAATGATGACGCCAGTCAGGAGATTATAGTCAACTCAGCAGTTTTTCTCTTTAAATGAAATAAAAAAAATGAGAATGTAGTAAATCAAGACATTTTAAACATTCTGTTCTCTGATTGGTGTGAGATACTTGCAACTTAAATGCAAACTAAAGTCAAATCTGCTAGTTTCTGCCATTCTGACTAACTGCTATAATCTAGAAGGAGTCACCTGTTTGTATCTGGGGGGTGGGCGGTTAGCTACTTCAATTTTGTGTTGCTGCCTGAAGGCTTTAGAGAGTGGCACTGAGGTTCCCTGATATGAAATATATTGTCATTGTCAGAAAACAAATTCTGGGGGACTAAGAAGATTGCTCACAAACATAAAAATCTGAGTTCGAATCACCAGTACCCGTGTAAGAGGGGTGGTGTCTATAAACTCAGCACTGGGGATGCCAAAATGGAAACTCTGCGTTCAGTGAGAGATCCTGTGGGGATGGGGGAGGGGAGGATAAGGTGAAAGGGCTGGAGAGATGGCTCAGTGGTTAGGAGCACTTTCTGCTCTTTCTTATTGAGACAGGTTCTCATTATGTATGGCTGGCCTGGGAACTCATAGAGCAGACATAGAAGAAAAGGAACTGGAATTGAAGATGTAGCTCAATGGTGAAGTGCTTGGTTAGGCAGAATGTCAGTCTCCAGCACAGAGAGAGAAAGGGAGATGGGGGTAGGAGAGGAGGGTGAAGAGAGGAGCAAAAGTAAAAACAGAACATCTCCCCACTTTACCATTTATACCTATTTTTGTGTCAGGATTTTTTTTTTCATGATGTGCAATTAAAACAAAATTTAGTTGTGAATTTCATTCTTAGTATCTTTCACCTATAACTTCAACTCTCTGAATTCCACAAAGTAGCTCCTGTGTTTGTTCTATAGGCCAATATTAAGCACTGACTTTATACCTCTCTCTGGGTATGGCTTATAATCCCAGCACCTGGAAGATGGGAACAAGAGGACCTGGAGTTCAATACCAGCATCAGCAATATATTAAGTTTCAAACCAGAGTTACATGAGACCCTGTCTCTAAAAACAGAGTTGGCAAGATGGCTCAGTCCCATGGGTAAAGGCCCTCGTTACGTGAGTTTGATCCCTGGGACGTACATGGTGGGAAAAATCAGACTTCATCAGATCGAACCTAGTTCCAGTCGGAACTAGGTTGTCAGGCTAGATGCCCTTACCACCTTTGCCATCTCACCAGCTCACCTCCACCATCTGAGCCTCATCTCACCAGATCACCTCCACCACTCTCTACCTTTTTTGTAGACGGGGTTTCATGTAGCCCAGGTTGGCCTTGAACTCCAGATCCTCTGGCCTCCAAGAATCTTTTTTTAACTTGAGGGAGTTTTGTGCTGTTCATAATTATTCTCTTTTCTCCTCCCTCAGATAGATATTTCAGTACTCAAGTGAAAAGATGGCTTAATCCTACCTGGACTCCAGACTGATACTCCTTTACTATTAGACGGAAGAGCTGAGTGATCCGTGTCACAAAGTTTAGAAACACTGTTCAAATCTAACTACAGTAACAAGATGAATCATTCTTACAAACCTGTTTACTTAGTGTCCTCAGCCTAGAGGCCACCAGGCAAGCACTGTGATGCTTGAAGCATGTTTAATGCTGAGAAAATGTTGCTGCAGAAGGAACACAAAGGAGACCTGGTGTGCAGCAGCTATCTTTACCTGAAAGACCCTCCTGGCAGATAAACATGTGATGACTTTGCCCAGTGATGCATTGATACAGGAGCCACTGAGCCCCGGCAGGGCAGTTTCTACAAGTTTTTACCAGGGATAGATAGACTGTGGGTCTGTGTATGTGCCTTTAACAGAAAAGAGGTGGTGTTTCCCGTGTATCTGATAACTGTACAGCAGGTGATTGTTCCCTTTGGAATCTGGGGGGCGGGAGGGGACACAATATTCAGAATTCTGAATGAATATCACAAAATGTTCTGCTTTTATTTCTGTGGGGTTTTGTGGAGGGTATTTGTTTTAGTCTTTGTTTTACTTTTTATGGAAAACATCTGATCTGACATCATAGCTTCAGAAATACTGAATGACTTGGTTTCCCATACATTGAAATAGGTAACAGAGTAGATGAATCATAAATTGTAATCAACCTTGACCTTGGGTGTAAGATATTTAGTAGTTAAAATATAGGTCAGTGATGGAGGATTTGCCAGTATGCCCTACTTCAATCCTGAATTTGATCCCCAGCACAACAAAAATAAAACTAAAAATAATAAATGATAAAACATGCAGGGTCCATGGAAGTCCAATCTGGGTCTTAAGAGCTCTCAAAGGAGGAGAAACCAGCACATAAATTGGGCCTATTGAGTAGAAAGTGGAGGAGAACGCTAACAGTCAGAGTTCATATGTTCTAGTGGGCAGAGAAGGTGAGGCTGAGCTGAGAGCAAGGGGGGACTGTGAATGATGATGCATGATGGGAAGCACAGGGGAGGCTCCTGTCACTCAAGGCCACAGACACATTGGCTTGCAGGGACTAGGACACAGCTGTCCACAGGGCCATCTGCTGACTTTAGAGGTTCCCAGGCCACAGGACTCCAATGGAGAAAGCAAGCACAAGTCCAGAAGAGACTGTGGCACAGAAGGTCAGAGGCAGGACAAGCTAAAGCTGAGGCGCAAGTACATGAGGGGGAGTGTGAGCTTTAGGGAGGTGGCTGAGGTAAAAATTTGAAATTAATAAAACAAATCTAAGCTCTTCTGAAAACAAATTCCTTGGCTTAAAATCGAATGAAAATGTCAGAAATTTGCTTTATTGTTTGTATTGTTTTAAATGGTTATCCATATAGTGGCTTATTTTGTTTTTTAATTTGGTTTCTTGGTGATAAGGGTGGTTACTGGAAAAATATTTTCTTGTCATGGGTGAGTACTTCTAAATACTAAAATGAGTAGCGTCTTTTGCATACAAATTACTTCTGGAAGTTGATGTACTAGAATCTGGAGAGTATAAATCTTAATAAAGTACTTTTTAAAATCATATTTGATTCAAGTCCAGCCGGGTCTACATAGTGAGTTCCAGGCCACTCAAGGCTATTTAGTGAGACTGTTTCTCAAAAAATTAAAAACAAACCACATTTGAAGTCATATACTTGAAACTTGTTCTCTAGGTTTATCAATGGCCTGGGCATAAGCTGAGACACAGCCGCACCTAGCAGCACACACCAGCCTGAGACACAGCTGCACACAGCAGCCTAAGCATTCTTTTCAAAGACCTCAGCTCTGGGGAAGTTGGGGTTCCTAATTTTACTGCAGAAAATAATTCAGAATGAACAGTATGAACCAGATTTGGAGTTTAAGAGTTTTTGTTTGTTTTGTTTCTTTCATTTATTTTTACTTTATGTATGTTTTGTTTTCATGTATTTATATTACTACATGTGTGCCTACCACCCTTGGGAAACAGAAGAAGGTATTGGATCCCTGGAACTGGAGTTACAAATGTTGAGCTACCACGTGGGTGCTGGGAATGGAACCTGGGTCATCTAAGGGCAACAAGTGATCCCAGCCACTGGGCAACCTCTCCAGTCTGTACCTTTTACTCTTTGTACCATCAGAAATGACTCACCCCAAATACCCATATAGTTTTGTCAAAATCAGAGCTACCCTTAGAATTACCAAATATCACAATGTTGGAGAAAAAAAGAAAGGAAAAAAGAAAGAGGGAGAGAGAGACAGAGACAGAGAGAGGGAGGGAGAGAGAACTGGCCAGCAAGATGGCTCAGTGAACAAAAGCAACTGCTGCCAAGCCTGAGGAACTGAGTTCTAGCCCTGGGTCCCTCATGATCTCCACACAAGTGCTGTGTCACACACACAACTACCACAAATAATTAATAAATACTTTTTTAATTACCTAATTTCTGCCCCTGTTTTGTTTTGAGTCAGGGTCTTACTATGTAGCCCTGACTGTCCTGAAACTCACTATGTAGACCAGGCAGCTGGAACTCACAGAACTCCATTCGCCTCTACTTCCCAAGTGCTTTGATTAAGGTTGTGGGCCATCACACTTTGCTTGTCACTGTTTTAATATTTGCTGTTTTCTTTTCTCTATTTAGGTGATTTTACTATTGGCAGCAGCTTGATGCCTATGCCAATAAGGAACTGAGTATTTTGGGAGGGAGGTTGACTTTTTGAAACAAGTTTTACTATGAAGCTCAGGCTGGCTTAGAACTTGTGACACTCCTCCACCAGCCTTCTGAGTGCTGAGGTTGCAAACCTATATCACCACATTCAACTGAAAGGAACTGTAATTCCTTTCTTTTTGCAGCAGGTTCTCAAGAAACCCAGGCTAGCCTTGAACTTGTGCTGTAGCTGAAATACTTGAGCTTCTGATACTCCTCAGGGCTGGGATTACAGACACCAACCATTACACTCCAGTCTTATGTGATGCCAAGGGTCAAACCCAAGGCTCCTTGCATTCTAGGCAAGAACTCTTCCTCCTGAGCCATCTCTGCAGCCTGGAGCTGTAACTCATCTTGTGCTCTATGGATCGTCCTATTTCTTTGCTTCCCAAGACCTGGAGGCACAGGGGACATTTACACTCTTGCCTTTCTGAGCTTAGGTTTGCTTAGAGGGTTTTCTCTGACAAAAAGAAAATAGCCTGCTCCCAGCTCCATTGCAGAAGAGCAAGAATTAATACTTGATCTGTGTTACATAATTGGGTAAATAGCACAAAAGATATGGTTTCCAATTCTTAAGATGCCAAAAAAAAAAGTCAAAGATACTTGGCAGAAATAGTTGGAGACAGAAAATAAAGTTCTCCTCATACAACCTGAACAGTCAATGCCAAACTCTCTGAATACAAAACAGTAGTCTCTTTCCATTACAAGGTCACCACAGCTTGTCTCTCCTATTCTGTCACTTCATTTTTGATGCCATTTTCTAGCTAGCTGGCCTTGCCTCAAAACATTCTTCATGTAGCTGCCTGGGATAGCCTTTCTCAACACCTGTAGCCAGCACAACTATTGCCACTGGGTAAAAGAGAATGGGTGGGGGTGACTTTGTCATAAGGAGCTGTCCTGTCATCTGTGGTGGTCACCAACGCAGAGGGAATAGCCATCCAAAAGTGAGTCCTTTTCCCCTCAGAGGAGACAAGTGAAGTCACCCATGCTTCCTTCACCCTACATGTTCCAGTCAGGCTGTTGGGAAAGGATGGAGTAAGCTGGCCAGGGACTCTCTCATGGCAGTCTGGCTCTTGAGTAAGGTTCACAAGGCTAAAGGGCAGTGGTTCAAAGGAGACTTTACAGTTCTTGTTAACCTTGCTGCTGCCAGGCTGCTGTGACTCGCTTCTTCCCTGCCAGACATCCTGTGGGCCTGCACTCATCCCCACAGCTACCTGCTGCCACCAATGACCATGTGAGGGGTGGCCTAAGCCTCCATTCCTCCACAGCTCTAGAGACTGGAAGGCTGATCCCATACTGTCAGACCATGGGTTTCCAAGGAGTCTCTTTACCAGCCTCTTCTGGTGGCTCCTTGGCATTCCTATCTTGAGGTTGCATCACCAGTCTCTGTCCCCATTGCTACACAGCTTTCCCAATGTGTCTGTGTGCAATTTTCCTTCCCCTTTCTCATATAAAAAAGGCAGTCATTGGATTTAAGGCCCATCCTTGTCACTTAGACCTCATCTTGACTATGTCTGCAAAGACCTGATTTCTGAATAAAGTCACATTCTAAGATTCTGGGTAGTCATGAGTTTGGGGGTGGTGTGGTGATATATTATTTATGATTTATTAAAGATTTCCTGAGGATTCATAAAGCAAAACCAGCCTCAAGCTATAGAGATCAGGTGGTGGTGGCACACACCTTTAATCCCAGGACTCAGGAGAAAGGCAGATGGATCTCTGAGTCCAAGACCACCTTGGGCTACTGGACAGTGAATCAGAGCTCACACCTTTAATTGCAGGATTTGAGAGGTATGAAAGGTGGAGACATTCAGTCTGAGAGTTAGTCTCTAGCCATGTTGAGAGCATAGCAGTCTGAGTGAATCTGAAGAGCAGTGAAGTTGGGAGCAAAGTTGCCCCTTTGGTCTGAGCTGAGTAGAGGTAAGAGCTAGTGGCTTGGTTGCTTTGCTTTTCTGATCTTCAGCTTGAACCCCAATATGAGTCTCTGGGTTTTTTATTTATTTATTTATTTTGTGATACAGGGTGGGGTGGGACACTTCTATACAATGTATAAACCCTGCTGAGACTAACCAATACAAAGACAATGCTGAGGTGAAGTGAACCTCCTTTGACCTCATGGCATTTGGTACTTAGAGTGTTCCCACTAATGCAGGGACTGTGGACTGTGTGTGCTCAATCTTCACCACAATGAAATTTTCACCATGTTTGATTAAGGAAGGCCAGCTGAAGTATTCTACTATGACACAAAAATGTTGGGTCCAAGCCGAGTGTGGAACTTGGGAGGCAGAGGTAGGGATCCCTGTGAGTCAGAGGCCAGCAGCTTACTCTACATAGTGAGTTCCAGGACAGTCAGGGATACATAAAGAGACTGTCTCTAAAAGGAAAAGAAAAGGAAGGAAAGTGAAGGTCCTAGAGCATGTCACTGTTAACTTCTTCACCTAGGAGGGGCAGGCACAGACCCTTCCAGAGAAGTTAACCAGTGCAATTCTAAATCTGTTCTGTTCAACTGTTTAATGTTGCTCTTCCTAGGCTTCTCAAACACTCTGAAGTCATAAAACCCCAGGGTTCTTCATCCAGTAACAGAGAACTGTGAGCTCTTCATGGAACTCATGTGTTAAATTGTATTGGAATTACATGCTTAATTATTGTGCCATACTCCACAAACATGAGCATTATGTCTCTTACAGAAGACATGTGACTGGAATTCAGAGTAATGGGCATAGAAAACTAATGGTGGATTTCACTTTAGCACTAATTAGTCACTTGGTGCTGTTCTGGATGAGACTTACTGTGTAATGTCCTCCGAATGCCACAGCTTTCTGTCCTGCTCATGCTCTCAAAGCACTGTTCCTCCAAGGACACAAAGTCCCAGAAGATCTGGGAAACCCTTCCTGACAGGACTTCATTTCCGTGTGGTATGTGTGTGTGTGTGTGTGTGTGTGTGTGTGTGTGTGTGTGTGTCATTGGACATTAAACCTAGGCCCATGTACATGCTGGGCAAGCACTCTATCAACCAACCTACATCCCTAGCCCTGAAAGATAGTTTTAATACTGCATTTTTTAAGTCAGACCTCAGAATCAGAGATGGTTCATCCAGTAAAAGCCCTTGATGCATGCAGCCAGGCAGTGGTGGTGTACAACTTTAATCTCAGCACTTGGAAGGCAGAGGCAGGTGGATCTCTGTGAGTTTGAGGTCAGCTTGGTCTCAGAGAGAGTTCCAGGAAGGCCAGGACTGTTACACAGAGAAACCCTGTCTTAAAGGGGGAAAAAAGAAAGCCCTTGCTATACCTGAATGACTCCCAGGACCCATGGTGGGAAAAGAGAAGCAGCTCCTGAAAATCATCCTCTGACCTCCATAAACATGTCATAGCAAGCTTGCGTGCACACAGGCTCACACATACATATCTTATTATCCAAAATGTTTATTGATATGTCTTCTCATTCCTTTGTAAGCCTTGCTTTTCCCTCTTTAGGCTGGCAGAAGATCCTGGAGAAGCCCCCACATAAAACTACCGTTTGTGTATACAGGGTTTTTTGTTTGTTTGGTTTGGTTTTGGTTTTGGTTTTGGTTTTGGTTTTGGGGTTTTTTGTTGTTGTTGTTGTTGTTTTTGGTTTTTTGAGACAGGGTTTCTCTGTGTAGCTTTGGAGCCTTTCCTGGCACTCACTCTGGAGACCAGGCTGGCCTTGAACTCACAGAGATCCGCCTGCCTCTGCTTTCCAAGTGCTCGGTAAAGGCATGTGCCACCAATGTCCGGCTCATACAGGGGGATTTTATAGACCATATGGCATTTCACAGCCATGAAGCAGGAAGCAGGGCCTTGCATCTGGCATTTCCCATGTTTCCTGTCCTC